AAATAAAATAAAAATAAGTAAACCTCTTGAAAAAATAGATTTTCTGTTTTCAAAATTAATAATATTACATTTGAAAATGAAAATGATAAATAAATAAATGTGAATAGTGTAAAAGTCAAAATGTTGCATTTATTTAAGAACGGAGAAAGTATGTGTTTTATATTTACACACACATATATAATCTTTTTAATGAAGTTTACTTATTATCGTATTTATTTAGTTTTTGAGTTATTTTAAATTATTTTTTAGTTACATAGCACAATTATTTTATATAATAACTTAATTTGCAATATGTAGCTAAAAAATAATTTAAATTAACTCAGAACTAAATAAATAAGTAAACTTCTTGAAAAAAATTCTATTTCCAAAATTAATAATTTTATATTTGAAAATGATAATGATAAAAAAAAAATAGTGCATAATACGTGTCTTGATATGTACACACACATACATATATTACTAATTGTGCGCCTGAATCTGTCATGAAAAAATTCAATCCGAAATCCAGTTAATATTATTAATTTTGAAAATGGAAAATTTATTTTTTCGATATGTTTACTTATTTTTATTTTATTTGGTTTTGAGTTATTTTAAATTATTTATTAGTTACATATTGCAAATTAAGTTATTTATTATAAACTTTAATTACTTTTTCATCTCATTAATTGAATATCTCAAATTATGATTTTAATTATATTTTAGTTATTTGGGGCACCAAGTATATCTGTATATCACTAAAGAAACAAGAGGCATATCTTATTCAAATATAATTAGATGAAACCGTGGTCAAACAAGGAGTAATAGTTCAATGATTTGCTTGGGTTTAGGAGATTCCCATTGGTTTCGAGGTATGGGGTTCAATCCCCGATTTTGACTCCTTTTTTATAAGGAGTTTTTTGCAACACAATGTGATGACATGGGGTGTGTGACGTGGCGAGTAAGTGACATGGCGCCTCTAACTTGATGACATGGCAAAAAAACATCCCTATTTGGGAATTAAGTTTAAAAGTACGCTATTATGAGAAATAAGATTAGAAAATACCCTCGAAAAAAAACTCCCAAACTCCCGCTCTATCTCCAGACAAAATGAAAATGCAAAGTAGCGCGCCCACCGTCGCCCGTCCTATTCTCCACCCCGTCTATTCCTGGATGTTCGGTCCTGCGCTTTAGCTGGACTAAACGGGTCGGTTCCAGCTTCTCAAACGTCTGTTGCGTAGCGCCATTGCTGCCGGCTGCTGTACGCGAGGAGGATGGCTTTTCCAAGTACTCCAGTTATCTTTTCGAGCTAAGTCCCTGACGAGGAGGAAGCGCTTACAGAGTACAGCATCTCGAGAATTTATGAAGTCTATCAGAATAAGCCGTTCGTTGTGCTGCGACGACTCCTCCAGGTTGTATCCACTTTTGGAAAATGGTTCGCCCTCAGATACATCGACTCCTTAAGTGGACGAGTGGACGAGATGTTTAAGGTAGAGTTTTAGTCGATTTTCGAAATAAAATTAGACTAAATTGTTTGCATTAACTGTTGTGGTTATTTGGGTATAATTCGTACTTCTGCATATGTTCTCTATAAATGAACAACCATTCCGCAATTTAAGCATCTTCTTATCTCATGCAGGTTAGAGCCGAGGGACTGAGGAAGATACTAGTCCAGCTTGGTCCGGTAAATTTTCTGTCACTATTAGACTTTTAGGGGGTGTTTGGATCTTTTTATTAGAACTGCTCCTAAACAGATACATGGGTGTTTGGGTAAAAATGCAGGGTACTTTTGGTGCTCAAAATTGCTCCCAGAAATTTAGAAGCTGGGGAGTACTATTCTGAATTTAATTTCCATAAAAACTATTAGTCTATTACTTTCAACATGAACAAAAATGTGGCTAAAATGGTAATAGAATTGGAAAGTAGGGAAGGTTACTATCATTAATCAATTAATTATGTCCGTGTGAGTTTATTACTAGTATGTTACTTCTTATTACCAGTGTCATTGTTGCCTCAATCACTATCACTGCTGCCGTGGATATGTCACGGACTCACGGTTACCACTATTTTTTTTTTTAAAAACTGAAAACCTGAAAAATCTTGTGCAAAATTTTCCGGAGGCAGCTGTTGACAGTGGTTTCCAGAGACAGCAGTGAGACAGGGGCAGGGTGGGGGCAGGGGAGAGCAATTGGTAGGAAATAGAAGCAGTGAAAAATGCACTACGTACATTAATTAAACAAAGGTTAGTCACATTTTTTGAAAAATAAAAACTAGTCATATTTTTGTTATCCAAAAGTGTAGAGGTAATTTTTTTAAATCTTTTCTAGTATCTTACGATGTCTATGTAGGCATGTAGCCTGTATGTCTCAAGTATTAAAATTAAAAAAAGTTATTACAATTTCAGCATGTGTTATTTACTCTTTTACTCTGTACATGAGAAGTTCATTGACTATATAGGCAACCTAGGCTGGCTTACCTCGTGATTCTTTACGGGCCAGATTCACAGCTGCAGTTTACCCAGTGTGCACCCTCGTGTAGCGCTTGCGGGCTTCCCTCGTCACCCGCAAAACGAAATTCACTTTCATTAATCAAAAAGTTAAATAGAAGAACCAGGGAGAACATCCAATATAAACTCAGAAAACAAACAAGTTAACAATGACAAACTCGCTTCTAGCTATCAAGTTACACTTTCTGCTATGTTTTACTGATTAAGTTTGATTCATGAAATAGTCTCAATGTTATTTTGAACATTGATTCAATATATCTTATTAAAATATTGTATGAATAGTAATTGCCATCTTTCTTGATTATATATTACAGGCATATGTTAAAATTGCACAGGCTATCTCATCTCGTCCTGTACGTAATGCTTCCTCTATCAATTTACTTGTCATGAATGAATCATTAGTAATACACAGTGCATTCCTATGTGTATCTTATTGAGTTATATCGGGTTAGTAATTAAAATGATATTTAGGTTCAGAAACAAATATTTGATTGCTGATGAAACTTAAGCATGCTGTGTTGCTGCTTCAATTTTAACTTCTATATACTACCTCTGTCCCGAAAATAATTTCCCACTTTCCTTTTATGGATGTCCCAAAAAGAAGTTCCTATCTCTATAAAAGGAAACCACTTTTGACTAAAAAGTCACCATTGTTCTAAAACTCGCTAGGCGCTAGTCGGGCGGTTGAGGGGCGCCTAGCGCCTAGGCGGCCGACTAGGCCGATTTTTAGGCTGACTAGCCCGATTTTTTGGCCGACTAGGCCGATTCGGCCTCTACGGTTAGGGCCGCCTAGGCCGATTAATCGGTCCGCCTAGGCCGATTTTTAGAACAATTACCCTTACTTTTTACCTACTTTTTGCTTGATTTGACATAAAGCAAGGATATACATGGGAAGTCAAAACAAGGCTCTATCTTAGATAAATATGTGTGTAGCTCAAACCAGGAACTTCATTTCGGGACGGAGGGAGTATCAAACCAGGATATACATGGAAAGTCAAAACCTTAATTGATTGTTTCTTCACAAGTTCTCGTCGAAAACATATATGAGGAAGGTGGTGATATCATACTTATTACAGTGATGGTAATCAGTAAAGGGAACTCTTTTAACAGCATTAAATATTGAAAGTATTGCAGCAGTTTTCCCTGTTTAACTTTTCCTGTTTAACAACCAAACCTTGTTGTTAGTTTACCTTTACAATCATACTGTTTGCTCTACCTCACAAATTTAGCCCCTTTGAGATAGTCATGTTAAGAATGGCTTACATGTACATAATTAACAGCTTAACAGTATTTGTCTGCTGTATAGGATTTGATTCCTCCTTCATATTTGGATGAACTCTCACTGTTGCAAGACCAAATTACTCCATTTCCCAATGAAGTTGCTTTTAGTAAAATAGAGCAAGAACTTGGGTTTCCATTAGATGTACTTTACTCTGAGGTTTCACCAGATCCTGTTGCAGCAGCATCACTTGGACAGGTGTTTTCTCTTTTATTAATTTATGCGCTCATTGAGATCCAGTTGTATTTAAAAGATTAATAGTTAGTCATTATCCTATCTCATAACAATTTTAATTTTTTCCCTTAGGTTTACCAAGCTAGGCTTCGATCTAGCAAGCAAGTAGTTGCTGTCAAAGTGCAAAGGCCAGGAGTTCAAGCTGCAATATCCTTGGACATGTTAATTTTAAGGTTTCTAGCAGGCCTAGTAAGGAAAGCGGGGAAATTTAATACTGATCTTCAGGTATTGTTGTAAAAAATTATAAATCTCACTGGGCTTAAAGGCAGAAGAGTTGAAACAAAGAACTTATATTAGGTGATTGTTTGCTTAAGAGATGTAGTGGAGCTCTTTTCCATGGTAGCCTCTTGCCATTTTTTAATGCCACCACCTGTTTCCAATAAACTCACCTTTACCAGTTCTATATATGTACTTCACATTTTTAAACTATAATGTGCAGGCTGTTGTTGATGAGTGGGCATCGAGCCTTTTTCAGGCATGTATTCATTTCTATCCATTTTGATGGCAGAATCTAGATACAAGCAAGGTTTAAAAAGTCGGGTTCGGGTATCGAGGCGGTTTGTTCCGGAGAGGCGAGGCGTAAGCCTCAAAGTATACCAATAGATTAAACATATAATAATTAAAACTAATAATATACAACTAAAGAAATGGATAATTATAAGTCCAAAAAGTATCAAACACAAACACAAGTATAAACACAAGCCATTCATCATCAGATGGCAAATAATCAACCAAAATATTTTCCTCATCATTGGTTAGGGATCTTAATTTAAGGATTCCATCTTTCATCTTGTCAAACCTTGACCAGTTCTAGGAAAATGATAGAGACCTCCAGAAACTCAGAACAGTTACAGAAAATCTATCAAGAAACAAAGTAATTCTGTATTGAAGAAGATGAACAATAACAGAAACAAGAACAAAGGCCGAAGCCCCCAACTGAGCCGAAGCCCCCCAAAGAAAGAGCAAATACTCGATCTTCCCAGTCCCCAAGACTAAACAGTCCAAAAGCCCTCCTCAACTCTTCCCCACTCTCTTCTATTTATACTAAACTAATACACTTATTATTATTACTTCTATTATTACTCTAATAGGTAGGTCCCTATCAATACTCCCCTCCTAAACATCCACCTTGCCCTCAAGGTGGGTGATAGGAAACAGCCAAAATCTTCCGCTTCCTCTTCATCCTGGCGCCTCTCCCTTCCCAATATCGGACCGACTGCTGGACCTGTAGCTTCATTACTTCCATCTTTTGCCACATGTACTTAACATCAGATATACACAGATGCAAAGACCTGGTGGCATAATGCTTCTTAATGTTGTAAAGGATATAATATCCTAACATCTGCCTCTTTTGTTGTAACCTTGGTTTTTCTTCCCACATTTTTTCCAGGAGCTGGATACTTTCAGATTCTGTGGGAAATAAGGCACAGCCTGCTGCAACACAAAAATCAACAACTACTTGCTTTTGAACACTTTCTGGTTTTAATGATAAAACCATCGGGTAATCTATCTTAGAAGCATCAAGTATAGAAGCCTGAATAGGAGAGTCCAGAATCCTCTTGATTCCACCCCACTGAAATTTTGTCCACTTCAATCCAAAATCTGAGGAGTTCCAACTTGCATAAAGCATCAATTTGCAGCCCTTATCTTCCATCCTAGCTTTGAGATTGGAGTGAGGAAGGACTGATCCTTCAAATGCACAAATCTGTGGATCATTCTTTCCCAATTGCCCTGCCAAGATACCCTGGACTATTACCCCCATTTTACCGACTAAAACTTGATTTTGGCTGTCAGAATCAGCAACATTCTTGTCCATAGACACATCATTCACCAATTCTTTTTGAATATTCTTCATATAAGTAACCCCTTCCACTCTAAGACTGTCAAACTTGTTCAATCCTTCTAACGTAATGTTTGATGACTGACAACACATCGTTTCAGTGTTGAAGACACTTGGCCAGTTCATCTGCTGTACCAGATGAGAAGAAATATCACCTATCTGAAGAAACTTGAACCTATTCGTTTCAAGGTTTGGCTGGTCAAGATCGTACTTGGACAAAATCTTACCCCTGGTTAATCCAGCAACTGCACCAGCTTCATATTCAAGGTTATCTGATGATTTCTCCTTGTGTTCCTTGTCACCATTCTGCTGATTAGTCAACTCCTGCTGCAATTCTGGGGACTCAGATGGATATTGCAAAATGGGGTCTTCTTTTTTCCTATAAACCAGAGGTCCGGAAGAATTTGCTTGTGAACTCAGTGGAGCGACTTGATACGAAGAACGCGAACAATGAGAATGCAATGGTGAGGAGGAATATTCTCCTCTTAATCGCATATCTCCTGGACACAAAGTGATCGCGGTGGAGTAAGTTTGCGAACCGAGGGAAACCTTTCGCGACCGCGAGCTAGAAGGAACAGTGCGCGACTCCCTTGGCGATCTTGGGAGCGGTGGTGACGATCTTACCTTGTCAGTAATCGAAGAGCGACACGAAGAGCTATGTGACGGACTCTGCGAAGAATGATGCGAAGATCGTTGCGAACTGGTGAGCGATGCCGACGATCCTCGTTTGTCAGGTAGCGGAAGATACTTAGTCTTCCTCGATAGGTCTCCCGGTCCTCTGCTAAACCATTGCTCTTCCGATTCCTCAGAAGTCGCTGAGTGTCGCGACTGATGATGGTGAGAAGTGCGATGCGATGCAGATGAGCGATGCGATGCAGCTGAGGTGTGCGATCTATTTCTCGATCGATCTGTCTTCTGGTTCTTAATCCCAGCGAAGCCAGCCTGCATCATCGCTTTCACTTCCTCGTATTTCGCATTCCATTTTTCGAATTTCGCATTTAATTCCTTCTGATTTCTATTGATTTTCCGCTCTATCTCTGTCAGTCGTTCCTCTATTTCTGGTGTGCAGAATTCTTCCATAGCTCCAGGAAGGAAGAGGCTCTGATACCAATGATAGAGACCTCCAGAAACTCAGAACAGTTACAGAAAATCTATCAAGAAACAAAGTAATTCTGTATTGAAGAAGATGAACAATAACAGAAACAAGAACAAAGGCCGAAGCCCCCAACTGAGCCGAAGCCCCCCAAAGAAAGAGCAAATACTCGATCTTCCCAGTCCCCAAGACTAAACAGTCCAAAAGCCCTCCTCAACTCTTCCCCACTCTCTTCTATTTATACTAAACTAATACACTTATTATTATTACTTCTATTATTACTCTAATAGGTAGGTCCCTATCAGAAAAGATGACAAACAGCTTAGTACAAGAAGAAAGAGGAGAGAAGGAGAAGAATAAGAGAAGTAGAGGAGATGAAGGAGAAGAGATGTAGAAGAAGAGGAGGAGCAGTAGAATGGACTGTTTGTAAGTTGTCTACTTCTTCGTGAAGGAGTATGAAAACTTTTGTGTGCAGAAATATGCAAACATTTTAACAATTACTGAATAATTTAAATAAAAAAAGACTTGTTAGGGGTTTAGTTTGGACAATGGATACATGCTTCATGTATGGGCCTTTTATTAAATACTACTTCAATTAATCCAGGGATTTCTTAAGTCACTGTGATAGTAAATAGCGACAAAGACCACAAGATAGTATGTAATTTGGATCACTGAAAGTCTGAAATTACACAAACAGTATATACGCACACCAATATCAAAAGAAACGTAAGATGAAAGTACTGGTTGAGACCAATTCGAGAGGGTCTCTCTCTCCTACCAAGTTCTGTCCAAGTCCAAAACTGCCACCCACTCCCTCTTCAGTTACGCTTTATGCACTGCGTTGATATTGCTTCCACGATCTGTTTCTGCTTCTCCACGATTTTCTGCTAGTAAATTCCCTCTTTTACCCTTGCGGATATAAACCTTTGAAAAATCCCTGTTGGGATTAATTTGGTACTTATCTGGGCTCGTATCATCACCCTCCCCTTCAAAACTCACCTTGTCCTCAAGGTGAAATTCTGGAAACATGGACTGGAACTGCTGCAATTCCTCCCAAAAGTCTTCGAATTGAGGCAAATCCTTCCAATGTACTAAGATCTCCCAGTGTCCAGTAGGTGTCATCCTAGCATCCACCACTCTCTCTGGCTGAGTTTGGAGTTCCCATTCCTCTGACAAACAACTTGGTAGAGGCTGGCTAGGAATGTTGGGCGCCACAGTTTTCTTTAGTAGTGAAACATGGAAAACGGAATGCACCACACGACCTTCTGGCAGTTTTAACCTATAAGCCACATGATTTATCTTTTCTATTACTTCAAATGGCCCATAAAACCTGGGGCTTAACTTCTGGTTCCTTCGCTTTGTTAAACTCTTCAGCTTATAAGGCTGTATTTTCAGAAATACCTTGTCTCCAAGTTCTAGTTGTACTTCCCTCCTATGCTTGTCTGCTTGTTGCTTCATCCTGTTTTGTGCCCTTGCCAAATTCTGCTGCAGTTCTTTAATCATGTCATTTCGCTCAGCTGTGAGTTTGGTAACTTCCTCCACAGCGGAAAGGGTAGCATCTCCTCTGAATAAAGTTGGTGGGTCTTGTCCATATAAAGCCTTAAAAGGGGAAGTCTTCAACGAGGCGTGGTAATTAGTATTATACCAATACTCTGCCCATGGTAGCCATCTTGGCCAGTGTTTTGGTTTTGTCCCAGAGAGGCACCTCAAATAGGTTTCCACACATCTATTTACCACTTCCGTCTGCCCATCCGTCTGGGGATGATAGGCAGTACTGTATTTTAGTTTAGTACCTGCCAACAGCCAACCTGAAAAGCTCTGACCAAAATGAACTTAAAAACACACTGTCCCGGTCTGAAACTATGGTCTTTGGAAATCCATGCAATTTCACAACTTCCTGGATGAATATCTCTGCCACTCCTTTAGCCGTATATGGGTGAGCTAACGCAATAAAATGAGCAAATTTTGTTAACCTGTCGACCACTACAAGTATAGTATCCTTTCCCATTGCCCTTGGAAGGCCTCCCATAAAATCTAGGCTAATGTCAGCCCAAACGTGAGTTGGAATAGGCAGGGGTTGCAATAACCCAGCAGGGCTTAATGTTTGGTACTTATTTCTTTGGCAAACCTCACAACTGCGCACATAATTCTGGATTTCCGACCTCATCCCATCCCAATAGAGCACACTGGCTATTCTCTTTAAAGTTCTGACATATCCCGAATGTCCACCACTGGCTCCAAATATGGATTTTTAGTTGAATTCGTTCGCCCTTGAACTCCACTCTGCCAGTACTGCAACTTGGAATTAGGCACCCCTTTCTCTGTCCATCCCCTTTTGTCCATATCCTTGACTCGTCCACCCTTGAGGGCCAAATTTTTCCGATCCACAAGTACTGCTTTATCCATCAGATCGGTAAGCCCATCAGTTGGATAAAGTTTCAGTTCAGCCATAATTTCCTCTTTTAATCCCTTCATAAATACACCCTTCAGCATTTCCGGATCAGTATGTTTTAATGGGGCAACCACTAATTCAAACTGATCTCTGTAGTCCATCACCGACTCAGTTTGTTTGATACTGAGCATCGGGCCAAAAGGATCCTGCACGAGTTCCGGCTGAAACCTCCTGATTACAGCAGCCTTGAAACCCTCCCAAGTTTTCTGCTCCGTGTTTTCATCCCACCATTGATACCAATTCAGAGCTTTACCCTCCATTGCGATGAGCACCACTTCAAGCTTCTCCTCATCGGCCACCTGGTTAAGCTTGAAAAATCTCTCAACCTTGATAATCCATCCATGTGCATCATTACCATTGAACAAGGGTAGGTCTACCTTTCTTCCGGTGCGAATCCTCTCTCTGTTAATTGGATTCTCTTGGTGAGTGGAAGGAGTCCGAGAATGTTCGGAATGACCTTCCGCACTGGAGGAGTCCACACTTCCTGAAAGTCGCCTATGCCTGGGAGTTCGTGAACGACCCCTGGTTTGTCGGCGGCCGTTCTGTTGGATGAAGTTCATCATCGCCTCTCGCATCTCATTTACTGCGCGCTCCAGATTGTCGACTCTATTCTCCATCTGCGACCTAGTAACGGGCATCCACAGTCCTGCGATCTTTATGCTTTGATACCAATGATAGTAAATAGCGACAAAGACCACAAGATAGTATGTAATTTGGATCACTGAAAGTCTGAAATTACACAAACAGTATATACGCACACCAATATCAAAAGAAACGTAAGATGAAAGTACTGGTTGAGACCAATTCGAGAGGGTCTCTCTCTCCTACGAAGTTCTGTCCAAGTCCAAAACTGCCACCCACTCCCTCTTCAGTTACGCTTTATGCACTGCGTTGATATTGCTTCCACGATCTGTTTCTGCTTCTCCACGATTTTCTGCTAGTAAATTCCCTCTTTTACCCTTGCGGATATAAACCTTTGAAAAATCCCTGTTGGGATTAATTTGGTACTTATCTGGGCTCGTATCACACTGCCTATTTAAAATATAGAAACTAAGGAACCCACTCCTCAAAAAATGCCTCAAGGCGCGCTTCAAGGCGTACGCCTCAACTTTTGAGGCGTAAGCCTCTTGACATGCGAAATAAACCTAAGCCCTGATACCTTTTCTATACGCCTCAACTTGAGGCGCGCCCTGTAAGCGCCTTTTAAAACTATGTATTGAGGTTGAAAGTAAGTTCTATTTTCCTTGGTGCACATTATTAAGCCACTCACACCAGCCTCGGACTCCTCCTCCTATCAGGTGGATAAAAAGCTCTACTTTAATAGGCAATTAGTAAAGGGCAGTTCCACATTATTTTCCAAGTCTTAGTATGATATTAGATCCAATGAAACTCTAACGAGCAATTAAATTCTGTCAAGTCTCAACAACAAGCACACAGACCACAAGATTGATAAAGGGCAGCCCGGTGCACATTGGCGTCTCCACAAAGTGAGGGTCCGGGGAAGGGTCACACCACAAGGGTGTATAAGGGGAAAGCCTCCCTTATAACTTTGACAAGAGGCTGCTCCAAAGAGTTGAGCCTCTGACCTCTCAGTCTCACGGCAACACCGTAGCCGGTGCACCAAGGCTCCCCTTCTGTATAAAAATACAATATATCATATAAAGTCTTGAGCTACTCACATTAAGCCACCACACCATTCTCATGAAGAAATATAACAGTTCAAGCTTCAGTGGCAAAACATTGGTTCAATAAATTTTGATTTCAGATTTTTTTCCTTGGCTACCTTCAATTTCAAAACTTTCTTTTTTCATTAGCTACCTATATTCAACTAACACAGTTTCTGTTGCCTCTTGATTATTACGCTAACGTTTTAATGCATGGCAATTTTCCAAATTTTAGCAGAGTTTGTGTTTATCTCAATGGGGGGTGTGGCAATGATATTAAGGCCTTCATAGGTTTATTACTCTAGAAAAGATTCTCATATTTTAAATTTATACGCCTTAAATAGAGGATACCTTATTATGCAAATATTTGTTTGCTAAAGACCTAATTTACATATACTTACCTATCTTGATTCCCTTTCCCACACGTCAAGACGGAAACCAAACTATTCCCCATGATAAAAAAGGAACATTCTTCGTGCCTTTAGATTGAATACAGGAAATCTAATTGAATGCAGGAGATGGATTATAAGAGGGAAGCAAATAATGCAGTCAGATTCAGGTAAAAGACCACTGGATTTGTTTAAATTTGTATGCATTAGTTTCCAGACAGCTTTTTTTTATAAGTATATATATAGCACACTTAGCCTCCATGCCATAAGCCGCAATCATGTTAACAGAAAACAACTCACTTTTTTCTCCCAGTTTAGTATGATTGGGTGACTAGGGTGAACTTTGTATTACCAGACCTGTCTTGCAGAAGAATGATCTATTGATTGACCTGAATCTATTGGTTGGTTATTGAGGATAAGCCCCTGGCATCCTGCATATGTATATCATCAATGTCCCTTGGTTCTAATTATCTCTTTATTTCTCACACCCTTCTAGCGTATAGTCTCTTTGGAGATAGATGTATGGCAGACTCCAAATTAAGTAACCATGGTTTACTTTCCCGCATTATCTGTGCAAGAGTGCAAGCTATCAGGGACCTAAGATATACAAGTTACTATCCAGTTAAGATGTCTTTGATCCTGATAAACATATTCGATTATCAAGATTTATATGTATATTTTATTTTGTAATGCTTTTGAAATGAGATTTACACTACAATAAAGTTTTCGAGCCTTGCAAAGTATAACTTTTGTATTTTTAAGTTGATGTGGAAAGTACTGAAAACTACCTTTGTGATCTAGGACTAATAATACAGTGTAGCTTCAGTTGAAGGTTATAGGGAAATTGATATAGTGAAAAAGTTCAACATTCACTATATCAATTTCGTGTCTAGATTATCATTCTTGTTTGCCAATTCCTCAAGCATGTGCATTTTCTGAATAAAATATTCCCCCATTTGTTATCATTGTTAGCTGTTGCTTATTATTTACTCAATCAGACAGTTATATGGTGACATTAAGGATGTTATGGTTCCAGAGATGTATTTGTCACAAACTACTCACAAAGTTCTCACCATGCAATGGGTAGAGGTACAATCACGTGTTTGTTGAACTGTTTTTGCCTAATCATTTATGATTGTATTCCATATTTTAAGAAATATTTAAATCATGATTTGCACAGTGCTTTCAGCTTAACTATACCATTTTGTGGATATTTAGTCGTAAGTGCAAATAAACATGCTTACAAAGAAAGAATCTTTCAGTGCAAGTAAGTTACCAATATTTTTAGGATAAATTTTGGTTTTTAAAAACTACTTGGAATTATATGTATCAGTTGTTGGCTCATTGCCAAAAGATCCCTTGACACTGGAAGGCAACACGTCAGTCATTAGAAAAAATTACCAGCATCATAAAAAATGAAGCATTTTTTAATCACTTTGAAATCCAGGGTTTAAAACTTCTTCTTATATTCATATTTTACTTGATGTTCTTTTATTGCAGTACCATACTAATTTGAGATTTCCCCTATAAGTGTTATCCTTCAAAGCATTATGTGTCTGTATTTAGATTCACATGGACATTTGACACTTGACATTTTTTATCCACTGCTTTACTGCCAATGACTGCTCTTGTCTGTATAATGTTCAGAAATTAACACAAACTAACAAATTCTTTTTTTTTTTTTTGCAGGGGACAAAGCTGGCTGAAGTGAAGGATCTTTATTTGATTGAGGTTATATCTAACATTCATTTATTTCACTACTTTGTCAAGGCTTAGGCTGTGTTGGTGTAGTGTCTGTAACAGATGCCCACTGGCTGACTTTTTTATTTTGTAATCAGGTTGGTGTGTACTGCTCATTCAATCAACTTTTGGAAAATGGTTTTTATCATGCAGATCCGCATCCTGGAAACCTTCTTCGTACATATGACGGAAAGCTAGCTTACTTAGGTACATAATTTCTTCAATTAGTATTAAATGAATTGACATGTAGACACACAAGTGATTTAATGTGTCCTGGTTTAGTGTTGACTACATGACTATGGTTTCCTGGTTCGTTTTGCAATGAGATCCACAATACTTCATTTATGGGGTTTGTAAGTGTGTTCATAAGCTGAATTCCTATTTTGAAATCTTCGATTTATTTTGTGGAAAGTGGCATGTAGAAATGAATGTGTTTACTACTAAATGAAGAGTAATTATTTTCAGTACTTTAAAACTATATTACTCCCTTGGCCCTATTTTAGCTCCTCGTTTGGTTTTGCACACTTTTCAAGGATGCGGAAAGTGTGTAGATGAGATTTATTTTGAACAGAGAGATACAATATCTGCCACCAAAATCCTTTCCTTAAAAGGAAAGAGGAGATAATTTTGGATTGACTAAAACGGAAAGAACGAAGATGAAAATGGGACAGGGGGGTGTATTTTGAAATGTCATTAATGTATCATGTTAATCAATCTTCTGGCTTATTTTAAACCTCCAGACTTTGGAATGATGGGGGAATTTAAACAAGAACTTCGTGATAGCTTCATGGAAGCATGTCTCCATCTTGTAAATCGTGATTATGATGCACTGGCCAAGGACTTCGTCACTCTTGGGTACTGTGGTTACTTCTCTCTTTAATCACTGTAAATAATGATATTACTGTCTGTATCATGTTTCAGTGTTGATATTAATAGGCTTCTTCCCCCAACAGCTGACAAGGCTGCAGTTACAACGGCATTAACTGGTTTTTGCTTCTGCATCTGTATTTATTGCATCTATTTTCTCTCATTGAAGAACATAATCAATTACTCCCCTCTCTCAAGAAAAGAGCCATGTTTCAAGATCTTTTGTCCAAAAAAAAGGTCTGGTATTTTAAGTCAACTTTCATTTTAAAGTAAATTTTCCTAAAAAAGCCAAGTGGCAAGTGGGTTGTCATTTACTCGCAGCAATCTTGAAAATATGTTGTATGGGTATAATTGACCATTCTAAATTTGTAGAAGAGTGTAACTTGATTGAGTTGACTAAAAGTAAAAAGTTGTACCGTATGGGACGGGGGAGTAACAGTCCTACAAATAGTCGGAATGTCGGATATATATTTCTTATGTACTAACCCACTATTTTCTATTAATTTAGGTGTTTTCCAAGATGTTGTTGCAAAAGGAGTCCAGAATATAAGCTTTGGGGATTTTCTTGCAGACCTAGGAATTAACATGTACGATTTGTTTCTGCTAAAGTAGTGCTAAACCACTCCATTTTCAAGTAAAAAGTGAATATTTTTAGGGAAAATTCCCGAAATAGGAGTAAAAATGTTTGAGAATTCCAAAATAGGACTGCCATATTTTTATTCCCCAAATAGGAGTAATTACTTTCAAGGTTTAAAAAGGTGGGTTCGGGTATCGAGGCGGTTTGTTCTGGAGAGGCGAGGCATAAGCCTCAAGGCGTATTGAGGCGTAAGCCTCAAAATATACCAATAGATGAAACATATAATAGTTAAAACTAATAATAAACAACTAAAGAAAAGGATAATTATAAGTCCAAAAAGTATCAAACACAAACACAAGTATAAACACAGGCCATTCATCATCAGATGGCAAATAATCAATTAAAATATTTTCCTCATCATTGGTTAGGGATCTTAATTTAAGGATTCCACCTCTCATCTTGTCAAACCTTGACCAGTTCTAGGAAAAGATGACCAACATCTTAGTACAAGAAGAAAGAGGAGAGAAGGAGAAGAATAAGAGAATTAATCCAGGGATTTCTTAAGTCACAACCTATAAAAAAGACTTGTTAGGGGTTTAGTTTGGACAATGGATACATGTTTCATGTATGGGCCTTTTATTAAATACTACATTACTACTTAAATTAATCCAGGGATTTCTTAAGTCACAACCTATTTAAATTAATCCACGACTCAAAAAACACCTCAAGGCGTACGCCTCAACTTTTGAGGCGTAAGCCTCTTGACATGCGAAAAAAACCTAAGCCTTGATACCTTCTCTATACGCCTCAACTTGAGGCGCGCCTCAAGGCGCGCCTTTCTAAACCATGATTGTTGTAGGAAATACGGTCATGTTAAAAGTTTGGTACTGCTAAAACATGGCAGTAATTACTCCTATTTTGGGAGTAAAAACATGATAATCCTATTTTGGAATATACAAACGTTTTTAGTCTTATTTAGGGTAATTTCCCATATTTTTATAAGTGGACATGTATATATGTACATTTTTCGTTGCATAATCAAATGAACATTTCATACCTATATTCAAGTTAAATTGTTTAATTGAGCAGAAGTGTTATTACAAAAAATGAGCTTATATAACACATTCTATCACAGTTCAATGAATACTGTTTAAATTTTAAACAGGACGTAAACTTTCCTTAAAGCTCTCCCACCCCCACCTATGTGACCAGATTTTTATTTCACTTCTGAAAAGTCATAATTTTCAATCCATCATTCAAATGTACGATACATATTTCATCGATAAAAACTCTCATACTATTGCATTCTGTGGCGATGCTTCTATTTGCAGGTACAAATTCAAATTCCGGATACCTTCCTATTTTTCTTTAGTAATTCGGAGGTATACCTCTTATTTAACTTTTGAGCAAACTAATTCATACTCTATTTGTTTACTTTGCTCCAGTAGGCTCTTACGTGAATAGTGTAGAAAAGTGAAAAAAAGTAGGTGAAAGAAGAACAACAGGAAAAGTAGAAAAAATGGAAAGATAAGAATATGTATCAAAAAGTAGAGTAATAAGGGTTGACAAGCATAGTAATATATCGCATTTGGTCACTGATTAAACTAACTCCACCGAATCACTAGGAAGCCAAAACTTAAAGCATGGTAATTATTTGATTGTAGTAAGAATTTCTGATCTCGTGAGTCTCCTTTGAAAATTTGTGTTTGGCAAACTAAAAAGGGACGGAGGGAGTATGTCACATTTTGCGGGATGCATTGTTGACCGTGTAAGCATTGTCGATTAGTAATTTGGAAGCTCTAAACATACCCCGCACCTGATTACACACATCATGCCAGCTCCGTGTAACCAAACCACACCTTTTACCGTTTCCTCAAGAGTTCTGAGTACCCTACCCTGTGCTTTTACAACTGCTCAATGTACCCATGACATGTACATCCCATCAACGGCAATGTGATTTGGCCTTGTTCTATGCTATGTTCCACATGCTCCATCTTTGCTATCGTGCTTCTAACATATGCTCAGATTCAGGTTATAACCAGCTGCACAAGACTCATAAAGCTACTACATTATAAACATTAACAGTTCGAAGGTTACAATATTCAACTATTGAATATTTAAACAGTGGAAAACCGTTTTATCACGCATGCAAAGCATGATGAAATTTATTATTTCATCTGTTATCAATCGTCTCCCATGCTTTTGCACAAGTGGAATTATCATTCCCAAGTTTTTTCTATTAGGCAGCTATTGGAACCAACACTTGACCAAATCCAAATTATCCCAAAATTTTGTCTTGCCACTATTCTTGAAATTTTCTCATCCATCGTCCTTCTTTGCAAAGTCACTCTTTGTCCATTTTTCAGAAACAAATAAAACTTGCAAATGACACATATTCTCCCAAATAGTCTCAAAAGTGTAAACAGCAGTAGCAAACCCGGTTACACATGATCAATGCGACTCTCCCATTTGTTAACTTCCACATCAGACTCAATATCCTCCCTAATTATAAATATAAAGTACGTAGTACTATTGATTTAGTTTCACCTGATGCGGCTTTGATCTTTGCCAACTTATCACCAAGATCCTGCAACATCAAGTTCATGCAAAGCTTGTCTTTATTGTCCTCGAGTGTTCCCCCAGTCTTTTGTACTTGTGTTGTACGCTCTGTTTCTCTTCATTTCCTCTCAGTTGCGCAGTTTTTCTCATCTCTTGTGCACCCTCCTTGGTATGGTTGCCCAATACAGTCTTCAGGAAGAGTGACATAGGTCCCTCAACCTACTGAACGTTGATTCATCATTCTCTCGTTTATTAGCCCTTTGAGAGAGCAAAGGAGTCCACCACTTTGTATTGTATGAGTACCTAATACTTTCATCACATCCAGGGGGGCACCATAGTTGTAGTGCACCTATACAGTGGGATTATTGAGCTGGATGAGGAGGTTGGAGATCTTGAAATAGGGTGCAGTGTGTCCAATGGGCCGTGGCCTCTGAGTTTGACTTGTTTCTGTAACAGTTGTCGCCGTGTTGTGGTTGCTTGAATGTGTCTCTCAGATCTCAATGAAAGCACCAAATGATGGATGCAAGTCCACTAAACTATTAAAGTAGCTTAAAGCAAAAGAACTGTAATTATTTTTTTGTAATAACTTTTTTCTCTCCCAAGTCTCCCAAGATTACATTTCTTTTCTATGTGATAGAGGTATGCTGACTAGACTGAAGGGTAAATTTTATAGGACGGCAATTAGGCTTGCATTGCTGTATCGCGTAAAGTGTTGGGCGGTGAAACAATGTCACATTCAAAAGATGAGTGTGGCAGAGATGCGCATGTTGCGTTGGATGTGTGGTCATACTAGGAAGGACCACGTGCGAAATGAGACAATCAGACAAAGGGTGGGAGTAGCACCTATTGAAGACAAGATGTGGGAGTCTCGCCTACGGTGGTTTGGTCATGTGCGTAGAAGACCGGGTGATGCACCTGTCAGACGTGTTGAGATGTGTGGAGAAGAGGCAGGGAAGAGAGGGAGAGAAAGACCCAAACAGACGTGGGTTAGGGGAGTCCGTAGTGATATGTTTCTTCTTGGGTTGGATGAGGGTATAGCTTTGGAGAGAGCAAAGTGGAGGGCGGGTATTCGTGTGGAGGAGTGATCTCGTATTATGTTTTCCCCTCATCTTTTTTCTTCTTGTTTTTTATTCTATTATCCTTATATATAAACATTACTTTTATCCTTTTTATTTTATCATTTTTAGGTATATTCATCTTGTTTTATATTATCTTTTTGTAATAGCTTATTTTTTATCTTTATTTTCTTTCTTTTCCTTTTGGTGGTGATATCATGTATCGATTCATGTTAGCCGACCCCAATATCGTTTGGGACTAAGGCTTGGATGTTGTTGTTTTTGTTTGAGGATAGGATGTTTTCATACTACTTTCATAGTGTAGGTCACCAGATTACACTTCCATATTTTACAGAATGTGCTGTTGACTGCCTAAGGGGCGCCATATAGTAATTTAAAAGCTCTACACATGTTCCTTCAGTGTGACAGGTGTCATGTGAGCTCTGTGTAATTGAGCCACGCCTTGGACTCTATCCATGGGAGGTCTTCGTATCCCACGTACAAGCGTTTAATGGGTCCGTTGCAAGTATAGTTATGTATCCCACTTGTTGGTACCTGTTACACAAGGAACAATCTAGAAGGGGGGGTGAATAGACTGTTCTGGTTTTTAACTTTTTCAAGCTAAGTACCACTTTTAACAGAATAGCCTGTTCTGTTGGAAGAACAGACTGGCAGCGGATGGTCTTCTGGTAGGGGTTCTGTCCGGATAGCCTCAGAACGCGCAAAGGCAGTAAGCCTTCTGTTAACTCTGAAAACTAGTTCTGCTGAACACAGAGTTCAAGTCTTGAAGAGTTAATCAGTTTAAAATAAAATCAAGTATTAAAAACAATAAGTAAATGACACCAGGGTTTTTTATAGTGATTCAAGGAACAACGTGTTCCTCTAATCCACTGTTCCACTAAGCTTGTAAAGAACAATTACAATGCCTTAGCCCCACCACTTAAGAAGCCCTCCACGTCTTCTTCAAGCCTAGATGTCACTCGAGATGCATTTTTTTGCTTCTTGATGACTGGTCCTTGGAAGTATCTCCACTTCGCTTACTCCAGTTACTTTGGACGCCCTTCTTAAAAAGAAGACTGTTTGTAAAACAGAGGTTTTCTCCAACTTGCTTCGTCACAAAAGATGTGTAGATGAAGTGTTTGAAGTGTTGAAGAACTGGAGGAACTCTGCTTTTGGTTGGATGAAAAGGAGTTGAAGGTGTATCTTTTCCAACTTCAAGCTTTTTCTTGTTGAGAGTGATGAATATGGAATCTCAAGAATGCTTGTTTGAATGTTTTCAGAGAGAGCAAAAAGTTATCCGGTTGTTCTTCGAATAATATCATATATATTGGGGGTTGTCTTCCCGTTGGAGGAAGAAGACAACCGCATTAATTGCTCGTACTGTGGAGTTGACCGGCTGGACCCACAAGGTAGGTGGCTTGCTATTTTGAGATAATATTCTCTAGAAATCTCGGTCAATCATCAACTTTAATATCTCAATGAATGGAGCTCATTAAATGAGCATTGAATGCTTGTACTGTAGCTATTCTGTTGAGAGGCTTCTAGCCGTTAAGAGAATCTCCCGTCAGTTTAACCGACTGAGGTAGCAAGCCTTGAATTTATCCAAGTGTGAGGCTTTCTGGTGAGCTTTCTCAGAGAGACAAGTCAAGTAGAGCTTCGAGCACTTCTGTTCAAAAGAAGCCAACAGAGGACCTGGGGGTCTTCTGTCCAGTCGACTATTCTAGAACTTACACTTAGAAAAATTCTAATACAGATTTTCTAATAAAGGGTACTCTAATATTCTAATTAAGCTAGCATCATCAAAATCTAAATACAATTATTCCTTACACCATTCACGGTAGCTTGCTTTGGACCTTCCTCTCAGTCATTCCGCTTTCCTTGTCCTTTTGGAAGTCCTATATGCCTGCCGTTTTCGCCTTGTCATTGACTATTTTCCTTGTATAGTGACCGCTATCTTGGGTATTTTCCATGCGCGTTCTGCATCTTGTCCTTGGTTGTGTCTGTCATGCTCCATGTAGGTCCCACACACCTCATTCAAAGCATGTCTGAGCTACATTCCTTGTCTTTGGGCTTTGTCCATAATTTTACTTGGGTCTGCCATAGTGGTAAAGCAAATATTGGGCTGATAACTATGCCACCAGTATCACTAATCATTCATTCATTCATTCATCATTACCCCAATGCCGCAGAGGCTCCCTACCTATGGTGGGGTAGGGGGGGGGGGGTCGGATGCACGCAGCCTTATCCCTGTACTAAAGCAAAGAGAGACTATTTCCGGACGACCCATGGTGAAAATCACGTGGAAAATTGCATGGACTGATTGCTGTTACATAACAAAGAAGCAAACAGTTTAGTGAGTCATTTTGCTTTATTCTGTCATATTCCCAACCAGTATCACTAATCAATTCTTTAATTATTTTAACATCATGAGCGCTGTACAAATTTTATATTATTATTATTATTTTCAACTTTGGGGGGCGGGGGTAAATCCACTTTCCAGATGTGAAAGTATATAGATTATACTTTAGGATATTAGAATATATGTAGATTTAGATAGATATTCTGTCAAATAATGTGTAATTATCTTTGATTTTGTTTCCTTGTTCTCAGGGATCTAGTTCCCTTATTCTCTCAGATCTAGATTCCATATTCTGTGAGATTTAGTTTCCTTAGAATAGAGTTTCCTTCTGAAGAGGATTCTCCCTGTATATATATCGGGTCTTTGTACATCTATTATAATTCAGTAGAGTGAAGATTCATATTATATAAAACTACATGGTATCAGAGCCATCCATTTCAGTTTAGTTTTTCAGATTTCAGTTCTTTATTCAGGCTGATTTCAGTTCAGTATTCAGGCTGGGTTCTTTCTCCAAGAACTTGAGTTAACTTCAGAACCTTACATACCATTTTCAGAACCTTACACACCATTCTGCCTACAGAACCTCTACACACCATTAAACAGAATCTCTGTCCAGACCCTCATTCCAGAACATCAATACACCCTAACCAGAACCTTTGTCCACGCCAACACCACCTCCGTCCTAACCAGTTGCACTTGCCGCCGCCGACCACGTCTTTGGAGTCCGCACCGGCAAAGCTTCGCGCGTCAGTCACACGCGCCGTTGAAGACTTTCGCGGCTGCCGCACGTGCCGGCGAGTGAAGCTTCATAGCTGACCGGATTTCTAATCGGAAATCGCCATCTAGGTCGCCTGAGTATTCTCTGCCAGGCAAATCCATTTTTCCGATCTGCGAGCTTTTGGATCCACGGTCTTCTCGAGGTTGGCGACGCAGATACTTTTGGAAGGGGGGTGCGTATACTTTTGGGATTAGAGACTAGGTGAGCTGGCTCGAATTAGAAAGGGGCTGCGTTATATTTTTGGAGTCGCCACTATCATTGGCTGGTAAGTCTTAATTAGCTGTATTTATTTATTTAAAAAAAAGGAGTAAAAAAAAAACAAAAAAAAAATCAAAAAAAAAAATGTCTTTTACGGGTCCATTTGGCAGAGGTGTAATATGCCATTATTGCAAGAAGCCCGGGCACTTGCTCAAAGAATGTAGAAAGTTGCTGTTCAAAAATCAAGGAAATCAGCTTGCTCATGTTGCTTCCGCTACGAGTTCATTTGATGGATCAATTGCTATTTCTGCAGACGAGTATGCCAAATTTTTTTGCTACCAAGAATCTCTAAAGCATTCATCTGTCCCTATCTCGGTAGTCGCTAATTCAGGTATTTCAAGCACATGTCTCGTTTCATCATCCTCGAAATGGGTCATTGACTCAGGTGCCACCGATCATATGACCGGTAATCCTAGTTTATTCTCTTCATTTCATTCACATTTACCTACTTCTAGTGTCACTCTAGCTGACGGGTCTACCTCACCTGTTCTTGGATCCGGTACTATTGTCCCGACTTCTACATTACCCTTATCACCTGTTTTGAGTCTTCCTAATTTTGCATTTAATCTGCTTTCTATCAGTAAAATCACGCGTTCTCTTAATTGTTCCGTAACATTTTTTCCTGAATATTGTGTGTTTCAGGATCTGTTAACGAAGCAGATTATTGGTAAAAGACATCAGTCGGGTGGTCTTTATATTTTGGATACATCAATCATAAAAGGTATCTCTTGTCTTGGAGTTGGAAATCTGTTAGAAGCTCATTACCGATTAGGACATCCATCTCTCCCACTAATGAAACAAATATATCCCCAGTTTAATAAGGTGTCATCTATACAATGTGAGTCGTGTGAATTTGCAAAACATCATCGTACTAGTTTAAGTCCTCGACTTAATAAACGAGCAAACGCTCCGTTTGATCTTGTTCATACTGACGTTTGGGGGGCATGTCCTGTTGTATCTAAATCTGGTTTCAAATATTTTGTAACCTTTGTTGACGATTATTCTCGTATGACATGGTTATATTTTATGAAATGTCGATCAGAGTTATTTACTCATTTTTCTGCATTTTGTGCTGAAATTAAAACTCAATTTAATGTTCATGTTCGTGTGTTGAGGGGAGACAATGCCCAAGAATATCTATCTGCTCCATTTAAATCTTTTATGCTTCAAAATGACATTATTCATCAAACATCATGCGTAGACACACCTCCTCAAAATGGAATTGCTGAAAGAAAAAATCGACATCTGTTAAAAACTGCAAGGGCTCTTCTATTCCAAATGAATGTACCTAAACAGTTTTGGGCGGATGCCGTGTCTACCGCATGTTTTTTTATCAACCGTATGCCCTCTTCTGTTTTAAACGGTAAAGCTCCTTATCACTGCTTATTTCCAAATAAAGAGCTTTTTCGTATTCCTCCTAAAATATTTGGTTGCACTTGCTTTGTTAGAGATGTTAATCCTCATCTTACAAAGTTAGACCCCAAATCATTAAAATGTATTTTCTTGGGTTATTCTCGAGTTCAAAAGGGGTATAGATGTTTTTGTCCAAGCACGGGTCGATATCTTGTTTCTATTGATGCATCGTTTCATGAAAATACACCTTTTTCATCATCCAAGACAGATATTCATGGGGAGAATGATGAAATACTCATTTACACGGTCACTATACCGGAATCTACACCTCCGATAATTGTTCCACATGTTACCGTTCCCGACCCCAGACCTCCAGTACACTTGGTTTACACCCGTCGACACAGAGCACCAGATCACCCTCCACATGTGACACCTGTGATTACATATCCTGATATTGGTCCGCCCTCGATCTCATGTCTTGAACCAGTACCTGCTTCTTCAGATCTTGTCTCTACATCAGATCTTGACCTTCCGATAGCACTACGTAAAGGTACACGATCTTATACTCATCCTATTTCTTCATTTGTGTCGTATAGCCAGTTATCCCCTACTTCATGTTCTTTCATTGCTTCCATTGATTCTATTTCTGTTCCTAAATTTGTTAAAGAAGCTTTGTCTCATCCTGAATGGCGTCATGCCATGGTAGAGGAAATGAATGCTTTGGATCTTAATGGTACTTGGGATTTGGTAGACTTGCCTTCAGGGAAGAAGTCTATTGGATGTAAGTGGGTCTTTGCTGTTAAGGTTAACCCAGATGGATCTGTTGCTCGGTTGAAAGCTCGATTGGTTGCGAAGGGTTATGCTCAAACCTATGGTGTTGACTATTCTGACACTTTTTCTCCTGTTGCTAAATTAACATCTGTCAGGTTACTTATTTCACTCGCTGCAACTCATGATTGGCATTTACATTAGTTGGACATTAAAAATGCGTTCTTGCATGGTGACCTTCAGGAGGAAGTTTATATTGAGCAACCTCCGGGATTTGTTGCTCAGGGGGAGTATGGGAAAGTTTGTCGACTTCGCAAATCTCTTTATGGTCTGAAACAGAGTCCTCGTGCATGGTTTGGGAAATTCAGTCAATCACTTGAACAATTTGGAACGGTAAAAGGTCAATCAGATCACTCTGTCTTTTACAGAAGAACGAAAGCAGGTATCACATTGCTTGTGGTGTATGTGGATGATATTGTGATTACAGGAAGTGATACTGCAGGTATTTTGGCTCTCAAGAATTTTCTTCATAGCCAATTCCAAACAAAAGACCTAGGCTCATTGAAATACTTTCTGGGTATTGAGGTAACACGGAGTAAGAAAGGTATATTTCTATCTCAGCGTAAATATGTACTTGATTTACTAGCTGAAACAGGGAAATTGGGAGCAAAGCCAAGCACAACTCCCATGGTTCCTAATGTGCAACTCACTCAAGAAGGCATGCCATTCGAAGATCCAGAAAGATACAGAAGATTGGTTGGAAAGCTTAATTATCTCGCAGTCACTCGTCCAGATATTGCTTACTCTGTGAGCGTAGTGAGTCAATATATGTCATCTCCGACCATTGATCATTGGGCTGCTGTAGAACATATATTATGTTACTTGAAGGGAGCACCAGGACGTGGGATTGTCTATCAAAATCATGATCACATGAGAATAGAATGTTTTGCAGATGCTGATTGGGCCGGATCTAAAGATGATCGAAGATCTACCTCAGGGTATTGTGTCTTTGTTGGAGGGAACCTAGTATCCTGGAAGAGTAAGAAACAGAGTGTGGTTTCTCGTTCGAGTGCCGAATCAGAATATCGAGCTATGGCGCAATCTGCATGTGAGATCATATGGATGGTCATTTATTGGGTGAAATCGGATTGAAGACACCGATGCCTGCTAAGTTGTGGTGTGATAATCAAGTTGCCATACACATTGCCAACAACCCAGTATTTCATGAAAGAACAAAGCATATCGAGGTTGATTGTCATTTTATTCGAGAGAAGATACGAAAAGGATTGATCTCTACGAGATATGTGAAGACTGGAGAACAACTTGGAGATTTGTTCACTAAAGCACTAAATGGGATCCGAGTTGGTTATTTATGTAACAAGTTGGGCATGATAAATATCTATGCTCCAACTTGAGGGGGAGTGTGAAAGTATATAGATTATACTTTAGGATATTAGAATATATGTAGATTTAGATAGATATTCTGTCAAATAATGTGTAATTATCTTTGATTTTGTTTCCTTATTCTCAGGGATCTAGTTCCCTTATTCTCTCAGATCTAGATTCCATATTCTGTGAGATTTAGTTTCCTTAGAATAGAGTTTCCTTCTGAAGAGGATTCTCCCTGTATATATATAGGGTCTTTGTACATCTATTATAATTCAGTAGAGTGAAGATTCATATTATATAAAACTACACCAGCAATAGCAAATTTCACTTTTCTGCGATATGTAGCCTTGCTGTTTTGGAGGGTATTGCAATAAGCTATGATCCAAATTACAAGGTTTTGGGCAGTACATATCCTTGGATTGCTAGGAAAGTACTGACTGACAGCTCACCCAAACTGAAATCTACCCTACGAGCCCTTCTTTACAAGGTGCATTGCATTTTCTTGTAGTTTTCTCAACATGACGTTCTGTGACATTTACCCCACCATAGTTCTAATTCCAAACCTTTTTGTTGTAAGGATGGTAAATTCAGGATAGATCGTTTGGAGTCTCTTATATCTGAGGTAAGTTTACGCATTTACACAAAGCTCCAAATTATATCGCAGACAATATATATATCCTTCGGAGTTCATAGCTAGTTTGTTTTCCTTACATTGTAATCATTAATGAAGAACATATGCCCTCTTGCATCCAAAATTTCATGGACTTAAAGGGACGTTAGGGTGGGTGTGGAGGGGAAGTAAAGTGTGGAGGGTGGAGGTTGTCTTATTTCTGAAGGAAGCGAGTTACATATGATTTTTAGACTTATGGTAAGAAATAAATGGCCATGACATTTACTCCTTCGGAAATAAGGCCTGGACTTGTTGTTGTATACAACTCAAGAGAACTTATGCTCACTGGTGATAAATGTAAATGACCGTGACATCGAGTTTAGGCCAAATTATCATTTTATATCTTTTATTTCAAAAAATTATCCAGTTATATAGCAATACATCCCCCCCCCCCCCCCCAAACCCCTCCCTAACATACCCTAAAAAAGAGCAATCAAGTCAGACTGCAGAAGATTGAAAAATATGATGCATGGTTTTTATCTTATTTCATTTATTGTGATCTCGTAGAATGTTATCCATTTACTTTACTTCCTTAATCCTATCACATGTCCTAATACACTTGCCAGACCTTTTAGAGCTTGACTTGTCTTTAACAGTCCCTCCGTGCCCGGAAAGAGAAAACCCTCACAAGGGAGCAAAGTGACTTTCGTGAATCTAGGTTCATTTTCAAGCAAGTTCTTGTTTTTGCTTTGAATAAAAAGGTATAATGCCATATGATTGTTTCTGGAGTTCTGTAACATGTACACATCACAAACTTAGGATCTTTTCAGGTTACTTTCTTAAGAGAGGTACTTCTTGATGAGCTAGCTAAGGTATGCATTTCTTAGTTACAATGGAGAATTGGAGATGGGATGGCAGATTAGACCTGTTCAGTGCTTATTTTTACTTTCATCATTCCAACACACTGATATTCCTGTATCTTTTTTCAATTCTCATAATTAGGGTTTGGATGCACTCGGGCTTGCAACTTTTGATTCTATAACAACTGTGTCTACAAACCTAGCATTGTCTTCTTCCTATTCATTTTCTTTGATGACAGATGAAGACATTGTTAATCTTAGAAACTTGCAGCGTCTTATATTATTTCTGCAAGGACTTGATAAAAGGCCTGGCATGGTAAGACGTGGAAAATTGGAGATATCTATTCCTTTTTTTTGTTATAAAAATGGATAGATTTAGTGTCATCATGAACCAGATTTCAGGCAGGACAGAATATCTTTGCGAAACAGTTCGATTTGAATTTTCTTGCATGTCTATCAGTTAAGTTTTTTTTGGTGGAATGGGTAATGGGTTTCAATTGATAAACCAGGTATCTTTGTGGTTTTGAAACATAGGTATGCTCAATTTATTTGATTTTGAAAAAATTAAAAAATTGAATTGACTATGAATGTTATAAGGACTAAGGAGTCTGAAGAGTTGCCTGCACGAAAAACTGGAGGATCACAGTAAAAAATTTTGATCCATGCAATTGATTTGATTACTTTTGTAACCATTGTTTTCATCTTAGTGTTGCGCGTTTTCATCTTATGTAATTGCCTTATTGATAGAGAGCAGAGAGAGCAAGGGGCGGGGACGGGCTTGAGCCCACCTTTGTGGGCTGGCTGCGGGTAATTTAATTAATTTTAATTATTCCTTTTAATTAAATTTCCTTTTAATTTGATTAGGACTTCTATTCTTATTAGAATTAGAGGTTTCCTATTTCTATTTAGTTTCCTAGAATGATTTAATTAGGACTTCTACTAGAACTAGAGGTTTTCTATTCTATTTAGTTTCCTATTATGATTTAATTAGGATTCATATTCTTATTAGACCTAGAGGATTATATATACCCCTTGTATGCTTCATTCTTGATCATCTTGGAATAAAATTGGAGTTTAGCCTTTTGGCTCTGGGAAACGTTGATTATCTGGGCAACGGTTTACCCCGTTGATTTTATTTTTCCGTTACACAACAATTGGTCCGACCTGCCGGATCCCGCCCCGCCGGAATGACAAGATCTCAGAACGAAACGAACGACTGACAGAATTGGAGGCCGAACATGCCCTGATGGCCTGATCAATCAAAAGCTTGACGCGCAATGACAGAAACTCGGCGCGCAGGGGTAGAAACTTGACTCGCAAGGAAGAGCAGGCCGCCCAGCTTGCGGAAATCGCAGCCTCCCTGGCAGCGATCGCGAAGGCCATGGTGCCGCCGGCGAAGTCTCCAAGCATGACCGTCGAGAGCGACTCCTCCGCCCACGTCGCGACTGTCTTCACCGATGATGGCGGACCGCACAGCGCTTCCACGACGCTACTTCCCTCGTTCGACGGCGAAGACCCGATTGGATGGCTGGCGAGAGTGGAGCAACAGTTAGAGCTCAACAGAACCCCACCTCACAGACAAGTTGCAGCGACTAGGGTTTCTATGGAAGGGGTTGCCCTCTATTGGGTGACTTGGTTGAAGGCGCGCAAACCCGGCATGACCTGGGCAGATTTCAAGCAAGCTCTGGTGGCCAGATTTGATTCCCGATTTCAGGGTAATCAGTTTGAACGGCTGGCTGGCGCCAAACAAATTGGATTAGTGGAGGACTACAATACCCTATTTGTTCAGTTAGCCAGTCAAGTTCTGGGATTGTCCGATGATCATTATTTGGGATACTTCATGAACGGGCTAAAAGAATCAATCTGCAGCTCGCTACACTTGTTTCGACCGGGTGACTTGGAAGAAGTCATGGAATTAGCTCGCAATGTGGAACATAATCTGTCCGTCCAAAATGGAGGAAGTGACAGCCCGAATTATATTCCTGCAGGGGTACGTTCCAACAACTTTTTAATGTCAAACCCGAGTCCTCCGTTGACTGCCAGTGGTGGCAACCTACAGGGATCAAGTGGCAGCTTTTTGAAGGATAGTGGACAGCACCCGGGCACAAAGTCAGGACTGTCCGGGCAGCCTACGACACGCTCTCAGTTCACTCGACTTCCGCCGAAAGAGTTTGCAGAATTGCGGGCGAAAGGATGATGCTCTAGGTGTAAGAAACCATTTACACCAGGGCATGACTGCCCCTTTAAGCAGTTATGGGTAATGATAGCTGAAGAGGAGTATGAGTTGGACCTCCAACAACATGAGTATTGTGAAATAACCGGCCAGGAAAAGGTTCTGAAAGGTCAGGGGAGTCCGGAAGGAGATGAAGGATATTTTCCAGTCTATTCTATGGCTGGAAATTTCAGTTCACGGTCCGCGAGATTTCAACCTTGAGGACAAGGTTATTGTGAAGGAGGATGGATTGATAGAGAGCAGGGAGAGCAAGGGGCGGGGACGGGCTTGAGTCCACCTTCATGGGCTGGCTGCGGACAATTTAATTAATTTTAATTATTCCTTTTATTTTATTTCCTAATTTATTTTGTTTCCTAGTATGATTTAATTAGGACTTCTATTCTTATTAGAATTAGAGGTTTCCTATTTCTATTTAGTTTCCTAGAATGATTTAATTAGGACTTCTACTAGAACTAGAGGTTTCCTATTCTATTTAGTTTCCTATTATGATTTAATTAGGATTCCTATTCTTATTAGACCTAGAGGATTATTTATACCCCTTGTATGCTTCATTCTTGATCATCTTGGAATAAAATTGGAGTTTAGCCTTTTGGCTCTGGGCAATGGTAATTTTACCATTGATTATCCGGGCAACGGTTTACCTCATTGATTTTATTTTTCCGTTACACAACACTTATCCCCAGGCATTCTTACTCCTTACCAGAATTTACTTAATCAATTTAAGGGTCTTTTATGACGCAATTGGGCAACCATTATGTTTAGACGCTCCTCATTACTAACTGTTATTAAGAGGGCTAATGACTTCAACTTATACTCTAAGCAGGGGGAGCTATCAAACAGAGCACCTTTTTCCCTTGCTCATTTTGGATCTGCTCAGGAACTGCTATCACTTCTTTCTGTCATTGCTGAGGTAAATATTACTCATTTACTTCCTACGTTCTTTTAAACTTTGCGAAGTTTGATTGACACGCAGAATAATAAAGTAAAAATTGTGTGATTGACTTTTGTGTAGAGGAAAGAGAAATAATAGAAACCACAAATTAATTGAGTAAAAGGGAAAGTGACAAAGTATCAAGGACAACCAAAAAAGGAAAGATGACAAAATTTTAAAGGACGGAAGGAGTAATATGTAAAATTGTTAAGATCTGATGTTCCATCTTAAAAGGTCAACCTGATAGGAGGAGTAGCTCATATGTTAATATAGCATTTTGTTTATCCAAACGTTTCCGGTGTGGACATTTAACACCCCTCCTCACGACCAGACACTTCGTCTGTATCGTGCAATCATTCATTTTTTTCATCAATTCGTTTTTTTTTCATCCAGACGTTTTTATAGTCGTGTCATCATTTTTCATAAGGGGCCCACACCATGGATCGATTTGGCTCTGATACCATGTTAAGACCTGGGGTTCCATCCTAAAAGATCAACTTGGTAGGAGGAGTAACTCATATGTTAATATAGCACTTTGTTCATCCAAACGTTTCCGGTGTGGGACATTTAACAAAAATCTTTAAATGACCTATGACCTATCAAATAGTTGTGTTTTCTTTATTGTTATGAAGAAATCAGGGTATTTGCTATGCTCTATTCATCTGCCCAACTGCTTGACCCTAGGAGTTAGTGTTATGGCCATATATTACGATGGGAGCATGCATGTCGGAGTGAACTTGGGGGGGGGGGGGTGGCCGGGTGGGGGTGGGGGAAGGTAGTGGCAGCTGCCGAGCTAACTTTTTTAGATTGTGCACTACCAGATTTATCTGAATATCTGTTCACTCCAATCTCCAGTGCATTCTAGGGTGCTCGTTCAAAGACAATAAAACATGGTGCAATGTTAAGTGTAGTGTAAAATACGGTATGCATAGACCAATTTTCTCACATCTCAATATGATGTCAAATACTCAAATGTTAGTCACTTAGTTGAGACCAGTACTTTGAGATTCGATACATTTTTCTAATAGCCAAAAGTTGCCACTAGTAAAAATTTGTTTTGCATGGGAAAATATACTTCTTTCTCACACCAATGAAAACCATTTACATTCCATTCTTGCATGAACATGTACCCGTGTGGGATCTCAATTAAAATCGCGTCTGGGGATGTTGGATCTGACACCCATGCTCTCAAATCTCAATTCACTAGACTACTAAAGCGACCATGTACATACTATACTTGCATTAAACATGTAGGGCTTTCATCTATGTGGTTCATTAAAACTAGTATCTATGCAATTTAATCTTTAACACATTTAGCAAAGTAACTTTATGACTATTTTTACGCACATGAAATTTTGATTTTTTCCCCATATTTGCAACAGAGCCAAAGATACTATTTTTTTTGGCTTGGGAAATGGGAATGTGATGGAATAAAACAAATGGTTCACAAAACCGTATGTGCTTCTTTATTTTGCCGTGATTTTCACCTTGAGTCATTCGGAAACAGTCTCTTTATGCTTTAGTACAGGGATAAGACTGCTTACATCCGACCCTCCTTATCCCACTTTACCCCACCATAGGTGGAAGCCTTTGCGTCACTGGGGTAATGATGATGATGACGATGATGATGAAATTTTGATTATTTTTTTACATAGCTGCGTAAGTGGTTCAACATAGTGGAGAAATGGTTTGACCATTAACCCTGCCTTGTCTGTATAATCAAATCAAGTTTTGAAATACTAGCTTAAGCACAGCAGCCAGACCCGAATATTATGAATTTTGTCTTTTCATTAATGCATTTGCTCTTATTTTGTACATGTCTTCCCCATTAACATTAGTGTCCGTTTGGTAGCCAACGTTCTCAGTTTATCAGCTTTATTTGGTAACCAAGACATGGAATGGTTAAAAAGGGAAATAAATATGTTTTGTGGCTGCTTTTTGGCTGAACCTGCTTAACTTCAGCAAATTCAGCGGATCCAATGTAAACCTCATCAGATGTGCTACTAAAATATATTAAATTATTTGGCAGCTCCCACAAGATATGCAACAAGAGTTGGTGTTGCGTTTACCAACTGATTTAGCAGGAAAGGTAGCTTCACGTGTTGCTGCGAGGACACTGCGTAGGATCTTATTGTAAAGAGATTCTCTGTCTATTACAGTAAAATCTATAGAAGACATCGAGTGTGTTTTGAATATAATAGTACTGATGAATGAATTTTTGAGATTTAATCTTTTACCAAACCAAATTGGATTGTAATTATTTCCTTCATAAATGAGCTCAAACGTTTCAGTTCATCATGTGTTATGCTTGGTGAACAATAGATTGAAATTCTCAGTTAGAAGTTAGAGGAGTCTTTTTGGAAATTGGAATCGTTGTGGTTTGACAATGTGCTATTTTATTTTTAAAAAGGGTAAGATGCTGATTGTAGATTGGTGATATCTATTTCTCTTATAATCTGAACTTCTGAAGACCTTGCAATGTTCTTTGCATTCAAGGCCACACAATCAAACTCTTGTCTTCCTTTCATACATCACTTGTGCAGTTGTGCTACTTAACTTTCTTTTAAACTTGAGGTTAACTAAATATTTAACCAAGTTATCCCGTATTAAACGGGCTTTTTAAAAAGCCCAAGCCTTGCTTGTTTATTAAACAGGCCAGGCCTTAAATAAGTTAGGGCTAGTCATGGACCCGGGCCGGGTTGGTTCCGGGCCGAGCCCGGCCGGGCTTTTTTTTTGGGAAGGAAGGCCCGGGACCGGCCCGGGTAGCCACCGGGTCCGGGCCGGGCCTCCGGTTCGGTCATAATTTTTTTTTTTTTTTTGCTTTCCTAACCCCCCCACCCCCCAAACCCCTCCTAACCATCAAGCCCAACCCGGCTAACCCCAAAAAATGAAAAAAAAAAAAATCAATTCGGCCCGGGCCGGTTCGCCAAATACAAGGCCCGAGCCCGGACCCGCCCCCCCACCGGGCCTAGGCCCGATCCGGACCCGGACCCGAGAACCGGGCCGATTCCGGGCCCGCACAGTGGCGGGCCGGGCCGGGCGGCCCGAACCGGGTCCATGCCTAAGTCAGGCCAAAGGCCCCTGATAGGCCGCCTGGCCTATTCCCACCCCTACTTGGAGGGTATTAGAGGGCAACTCAAGGAACTTTTGGGAATCTCAATTTTATATTGACAAATGCGGTAGAAATTCATCATTGATGAAATTAATTATTCTTAGAAGAATCAGAATATTAGATGTCATGTATGAGTGCATCTAGATTCGAGAGTTGCGGTTAACCTACTATTGAGTGATGACAATCTCACACACCAGACTCTTCTAAGGTTGCCAGTTTTCATGAGATGTTGGATCGGGACTGGATGATCAAAGTTGACCAATATATTAGGAGGGTAACCGGGCTGTCGATTTCTCGACTGGCATAGGTCATAGTTTACCTTTTGGTGTTCACTCCATATGCATTGATGATCCTACTTTATCCCTACACATTTTATATGATTTGTTAGGGGTTTCTCAGCCTCCGTTGATTGTGAATGAAAGATATGCGCTGATGCGCCTATGGTTTCACCAAAAAAAAAAAGAATATTAGATGTAAGGTGAAACTTTCGAAGAGGAAGAATCCCTTGAAAAAAGTAGGTATTTAAAGTGAAGATGATTGTCTAAGAGATAAGTTCAATCTTAAAGGAGGCCTGAGAGATGAAATATGTTGATCAAGAGCTCAATGATCGTAAACTATTAATTAATTTAAGATCTAAATATATATTTTAAGTCTTAAATTGATACTCCCTCCGTCTCGAAAAGGTTGATCAAATTTCCTTTTTTTGGGATGTCCTTAAAATATTTGTCTTTCCATTTAAAGTAAGGAATATGTGGCTAAAGTTAATTTTCTCTCTGCACAAATTTCAACCACACAGTTATTACTTTATTAATCCATGTGAAAGTCAGTTTTGGCCAACCTTTTCAGGACGGAGGAAGTATTTTTTAACCACTCGGAGGCCAGCCTAACAGGATCATTGTCTTACATATATTTATGTAATAATAATATCTATACATTGGTATATAGATATTTTGACGTAATCACCCGATAACCCGCTCATGATGGACAAAATGCATTTGGTCATAATTTTTAATAGATGATGGACGAATGCGTGAAACATGAACAACTGAAGGGTGAATATGAGTTACCCGCACATGTAGCTCAGTTGGTCCAGTGATGAAAATTTTGGAATAATGACCAAGGATCGAAACCCGCAACAGCCATGTGGAGGTTACATTTCTTGCGTGATGGGCTGGACCTCTGGTGCGCACAGGTATAAGACCACCATCATCAGGCCGATTTAGTCACCGTGATTTACTCCTCCACCATTCTGTCGGGTCGGAGTGTGGGGGCTCCTGGGTGGGAGATTCCACCTTTTGAAACAACGAAGGATGTAGAGACTATATAACCAAAGGTGGATAGGGTGGGTCTTTTGTATTATGGGCCGCAAGTTTCTTATTGGGGTTAAGATTTTTACTCTCTTTAAATACCCGTTCTCTCATTATAATCATTATCATAAAATAATCGTAACATCCTGACTTGGTAGCGCCCCCAAACATAGTTATTTTTTGCGAACTGGGTAGCCAAACTCTTGTGTTCTCTTATCGTTTTTCGTATTGTGTGTGTTTAAATCCCAACATGAACCTTCACCCATTTCACATTTCACAAGGATGTTACCAATACTTTACTTATAGTATATTTTGCTACTTCAGCCAAATAATTGACGTGTAACCTCATTTTGATGAAATGAATGTTGCGGAACATCGTTGTGATGTATACAAATATTTTTACAAGTCTCACCAGTTGAATCTATAAAGAATGTTACATAAAGCAAGGTTTTATGTAATCTAAAAAGGCAAAATTTAGAGCAAAGAAAGCAAAATTTCACCAATAATCTCTACAAGAACAAGACCCATCTTTAAACTTGTGAAATCGAGCCCTATCCCTTACAATAATTTCCCTCCCATAAACCTTTGAAACAAGCTTCATGACAATGTGACAATCCCCACATATCCTTATATTCTTGTTTACACAAATCCGGGTCCCATCTCCTGTACTAATCAAAGCAAAAGCTACCGCCAACTTCTCACTATGGTAAGCCAGTGCGTTCTCCTTCTCCTCATCCTCTATATCATGCAACACATACTCCGTTTCTGGAACATACCCACACTCACTTATTCTGAACCATACCTCATTTAGTTTCCCATAAATGGCATTCCACTCCAGGTGGTTCTTATCTCCATTCACAAACTTGTACATCAAACCATTAACTTCAACATAACTAAAACCAGGCACTTTCTTGACATCCCAGTTCTTCATTGCCTGTCTGACTCTTCCTACATCAGTCCACTTCTTGTGGGCAGCATATAGATTGGAAAGCAAAACGAAATCTCCACAACTGTTTGATCCCATTTCAATGAGCTTGTCTGCTGCCTTCTCGGCCATATCCAAAGCTTTGTAAGTCTTACAAGCCCCTAGTAGTGTCTTCCATAACACCACGTCTGGAACCATAGGCATTGACACTATAATGTCATATGCTTCCTTTAACTGCCCAGATCTTCCCAACATGTCTACCATGCTACCATAATGCTTCATATTTTTTATCACTCCATGTTTCTCCATTGACTGATACAGTATCATGCCTTCCTCCACCATGCCGGAGTGATTACATGCACATAGTGCTGCCAAGTAGCTCACATTGTCAGGAACCGCCCCTTCCTGAGTCATTCTTTTGAAAAGGTCAAGTGCTTTGACTCCATCTCCGTGCACTGCAAGAGCCATGATCATCGTGTTCCATGTAACTAGACTTTTTGAGCATGGCATTTCATCGAACAGTCTGTGCGCTCTGTCCATAAACCCACATTTTGCATACATATCAATAACTGCATTGCAGACGAACACATTCAGATCAAGATTCTTGATTCTTATGTACTCGTGGACCCTCTCACCTTCTGAGATTGCTCCAAGTTGGGAACACGCAGATAGAGCGCCGAGCACGGTTATGTCATTGGGCTCGGTGTTTGCTTCCCTCATTTTCTTGAACAGCTCCAAAGCTTCAATGGGCCGGTTCCCCTGAGCAAACCCAGCAATCAAAGCGTTCCAGCTTGCCACATCTCTCATTTCCATTTCTTCAAATACCTTGTGAGCGTAATCCAAGTCACCGCATTTAGCATAAGCATCGAGCAAGGTCGTACGGAGCAGGAAGTCGGAGCTGAAACCAAATCGAAGGACGCCGGAATGGATTTGAAACGTCTGGAATCGGGCCAGAGCTCGTGCGCAGGCCTTGAGCGTGAACGAGCACGTGAGGGCGTCTGGCTTGCAATGGGAACGTAGCATTTGGGCGAAGCTCGTAACGGCGTCGGTTGGGTGGTCGCTCTGGGCGAGGCCGCGGATAATGGCGTTCCAGTCATTGGTGAGCGGAAAAGGGATGTAGCGGAAGATGGAGGCGGCGTAGTGGAAGTTGCCGACGGAGGAGGAGGCGCAGAAGTCGAGAAACTTTGCACGGTAAGGGTATAAGTGGAAAAGGCCGGTGGTTATAAGGTGGGCTTGGAGCTGCTTAATGCGTAAGAAATTGGTGCACTTAGGCAACAACGACTCCACATATGCCATGCCGCATCTTCGACTGGCATCGTCTTTGGCTTATTAAATTGTGGACTGAGATTAGATATATAGAAAATGAGAAATTAAAAAATGCAAAATAGAAAACATATTAATCGAAAAAATTGTTGGAAAACTGGAAAAAGGAAGACAGAAAATGCTTAATCAAATCGTTTTCCTGAATCAAATCGTTTTCCAGAACTGAGGTATATGTTTTTGTTTTCCTTAAGGGCTCGTTTGGTATGATGTAAAGTAAACACTTTGCATGCAAAGTGTGGGGAAAGTAAACATTTTACACCGTTTGTTTTAAATATATAATGTAAACTGTGGGGCGCTTTTTTTTTACAACACTTTACACCGTACCATGTAAAATATTTTACGTGGGGGATGGTGGTAAACTATTTCACATCCGTTAATTTGGAGAATGAATGTATCGATCTATTGTGTAAACCTATACTTTAGCCGCTGGAACATATGGCGGTAATGGAAAAATCTCTTGCAAAAGCCTATTTTTTTCTCCAAGACTCCATAAAAACAAAATCATCAACCATCATATGCAAAACTCTTCTCCAGGCTATCTGCGTCTAATACTTTAGGTATAGTGATTTTTTGAGTCTCTTTTTTTACATCAACCGTTGGGCGACTTACCCCTTCCATATGAACGCAGACCAGCAGTTACTGCCAGCCAGGCACGACCGTGCTTGCAAGGGTAGGCACAAACGTGCCTAATTCTAAAAACAGAATTTCAGCATTTTTTTTTTTGCCCCAGTTCAACCCAGACTCATCTGTTTGCTATAAATAAGGTCTCC